GTTGGAACTAGATGATCTTTAAGGTCCTTTCCAACCGAAACCATTCTATGATTCCATGAACTAATGTTTTGGGTCTCTCTGAAGATTTTCAAGACCCACCTGGATGCAGTCCTGAGTAATGTACTCTAGGCAATCCTGCTTTAGCAGGGGAGTTGGACTAGATGATCTCTAGAGGTCCCTTCCAACTCTGAAAATTCCATGATTCCATGCGTCTATGAAGAGAAGCAGGGGTTAGGACCCTGTCCCTAGGCAGACATGGTTTGGGACCCCTGGGTGCCACCATGTTAGGAGCTTAGGGAGCACCACTGCTAGAAGAACCACGCACAAGCTCAGAAACAGCCCACTGAAAGGGACCGTAAAAGAGGAGGGCGAAGACCTTGGTTAAATTCAGCAGTTAATCTTCCCTTATTGTATCTGTCTTTAAGAAAAATAACAGATATTGCATGCAAAAATTGCTGTTCAGAAGCTGCTCAAACCCAAATACATATGGAATTGTGCTAAGTGGTTGCATTTTTTCTCATGTTAAGGCAGCATATCTCATATATGTTAAAAGTGGCAGTAAAGAACAAAGCGGACCAAACTGCTCACTGTCTGGCAGACAACTTTATAGACAGAAAGTTGTACTGGTCATGACAAAAACTAATTTTTTCAGATACTCTTTTGAGTGTTCTTTTGGGATGAACACAGAGGTGCACACTCATCAGACAACTATGGAATTTTTCTGTCAGAAGAGATCGCAAAATTTTAGCATCATAAAAAGTTTATCTAATAAATGGCCAGGCAGTCAGTGTAAGCACAATAGTGGTATAGTTGGAGAATTTTTCCACTAGTGAAGGTGCTGATTTAAATAAATGGGGACAATAATAATTACAATAAAAATCCCGAACAATAGAAGCAACCTATGGCAGATAGGATTTAACTAAAAAATATACAAAAAAGTTCCTTAACATTAAATTTCACAATCCCATTACCTGCATCTTATTTTTTATTTTGGAGTTCAAATTCATTTTTTCCCCATCACCTGTTGTCAGGATGACTTGCATATTGAACTGTTCAGTGTTTTCCTAAACAGGGTGTTCTTCTTGAGCCATTCAAAGAGAGCTATAAGAAGGGGTGGATCAGGAACACTGACTTGCTGGTGCAAGCAAGTGTTGTTTTGGTTTTTTTTTTTTTTTTTTTAATAGTTCTGTAAGAACGCAAACAGAAAGGTACCTGTTGCCTTTCCAGACTCCTGACTGTATGAAGGATTTGGTTCTCTCTCTCCAGCATCATGAATATACAACTGTATCAACAATCTCTAGCATTTTTTCAAAATTTTTTACTTCACCCCCTATTGTTCAGAATCTTCACACAGCAGGAAAAGGAAACTTAGCTTTAGAGGTGAAAAGACTGTACCTAAGAGAAAATCCAAAATGTGTCATAAACAATACAATATGGCATATTAGTGCCATTATACAGCACTGAGGTGGAACAGCCAGGAATGTCCTTTGACTCTCACCCTCAAATTGCATAGCCAATTAGAAACCTTTTATGTCAAGTTACTTTGATCAAAATCATTTCCCTGCATTAAAACATAACATAATGACTTTTGGTGTGTAGAAGCCTTCAGAATAAGCATCCTGCCTGTTAGCATTTTTACCCTGAGAACAGCATGTCACGAAGTTTAATAGAACAGCCCATGCTGCCGGTATGCATAAATACCTTTCTGTACATAGTTCATTAATTTTTTTGCCATATGTTTCTATGCTATTCCAATGCTGTTAATATTTGGAAATGTCTTCTATTTCTAGAAATATTAACTCAGGTAACAGTAATATTGAATCTACTTTGTAATCCCAGCATACAAACCTATTCTCTCCCCCCAGTGCTTGTTTATTACTGTAAACAGAATCATTCAAGGTAGGAATATTCCATGTTTACCAACAGGCAATATTTATTATTATAACTGAGAACTCTACATACAGTATTGCACAAAATTATAATGGACCAATCAACAAAACCATGTTCCTATGGAACTGCAAATAGCACTTTAACAGAAATTTAACACATTGTGCGTTAGGTGTTTTAGTAAAGTAACAATTTAGAGGATTATGTCACTGGAGCATGAAAGCGCAAACTTTCATCCAAGGCATATACACAAAACACGTGAAAAGGATTGCTATATGTGCCACAGGCCTACAAAAAACCAACAGAACCACCAAACCAATCTCCCCACCCCAAAACAAGTTAAATGCGTAACTACTAGCACTCTTGGCAATCACCAGTGCTACCACATTCAAAGTCTTATCCCCTAGCAAGCAGAGAAACGCAGTCTGAAGAAATCCCCTTAGCTTGGAGTTTTACATGTTAATGCAGCTCTATCACATTAACTGCATTTTTTTGTTTGGCAAGACTGAAAGACTATAAATACACCTAGCCGGTGTATTACCAGTAATTCCTGAATTACTGTATAAAGTAACTGTGTAAAACAGTTGACTGTTGAAGGAAATAGTGTTTTTACATCAAAAGGTGATACAGTATACGACCAAAATTCAAGTATTTAACTATAGGTGGGGAAATTCTGACTTTCTGTTTCTGTGTACTATGTAAAACAGATCAAGAATTGTTATTTCATTTTTATTCTTCCCTCTACACTTGGAAAAAGGTGTAGAGGGAAGAATAAAAATGTAGCTGGAATCCTGCCTCTTCTGCACATTACTATTCCAAAGTTGACAGGCATGTGGGTGCAACAACTGTCCAGATCAATGTAACATCTGGATTTTCAACGTGCCACCTAAATGCTCAGTTCACCCCCATCTCAACACCTTCTTGTCTTTGACTGCAAGATCCCTGTCCCTGTTGTCCCCTGCTTTTTATTTGTACCCTTTTCACCAGATGTTCTGATCAGTTGCCCAGGCAGACACATTATCTTCTCTTCTGCATAAGTAAGCAGGTTAGCTGCACAATGTCATCTTTGGACAATTGGGGAAACACAGAGATGAAAGGATGGGACACTACTTCTCTCATACCAGCTTTTGGGAAGGCGTTTACCCTGCTGCCTAAGTACCAGTGAAGAAGGGCTGAAAAATTTATAAGCTTGAAAAACACTGCTTTACAAAAACAAAATTCTGATTAAGAGCAAGCAAGTTTAAATTCCAAAGAAAAAAATGCCTCCTATAAACATAGTATTTTAATTACTGTCTAGATTTATTTAAAACAATTATGAAATACTAGGGCTTTTGAAATTACACAAGCTTTTTCTCCTGTTACCAAGTTAACTTCAAGACAGAAGTAAATTGTTAAGTTACCATAAGCTTTGGTGAAAAACCCTGGTACGTACAGGTACAAAACAGAGTTGAAGCTGTAACAAAATTAGTCGCAGAGGTGACTACAAAAGAAGTAATGAGAAGTGTGAGATTTCTCTCTCAAAAACAGCGTTCACAGCTTCTGGTGCACAGACAGCATATTCTGTGAACATGGGGGATCAGAATCTGGAGGCAGTTTTACCAACTTTACAATTTAAGCCAAGAAAGGCAAATGACAGAAATGTGAGAAACAAGCCCTGTGTGTACCCTTCTTTAGTACTCCAGTGCCTGAATATATTTCACATTTTTGACAATTACTTTCTAAGCATAGCAGAGACTGTGCCTTCAACAAGAAATGGAACAGAATTAAAATTGGGCTAGCCCATTCTGAAGTACTTCCACAAGCAGTGCTATGGTAGCTTACAGCTATATTAATACATGAACTTCTTTTTGGACTTCCCTGGATTTATGGGAAAATAAACCACCAGAAAACCCACACTTAAAAAGATGAAAGCATCAGAAAACTACAAAAACAAAGCAAGCATCTACATAATCATAGTGAATGCTGAAGCTGAGGACTGTGCCCCTGTGTATACAAATCTTTATAAATAAACACATAAAAATGGTTGGGTATTTTTTTCCCCCCAGATGAAAGCAGAACACATAGGCAATGTATTCTTTCAAAGAGATTTTGGATGGGGAAGTCTAAGTAGAGTGGACAAAGAAAATGACAAAGGAAAAGAACAGTGAGATTTTATTTCCTTGGCATGTAGAAGTACAGAGACGTTACTACAGCGCTTACTGTTCTTACCTTTTGGATCCCAACTCACCACAAATTATAGCATAACTACATCAGTGGTGGAATTTAACACACAATTTACATTTTCAAAATGATTTAACTTTATTTTTCTTAATCATATCCACACCTTATGCAGCCTACGAACCTGAAGAAAATGCATTTGCTTCCAAAAGCCGTAATAGTAAGCATTTTGGTGTGTTCAAAGTCAAAGAAGTAGTCCTGAGGTTTCAAATGTTGAAGCTTTCTCCACAGCCACATGTTCCTTTGATGTTTGGATTATTGAAGACAAATTCACTGGACAGTTTGTCTTCTACATAGTCCATTTCAGTTCCTAGAAGCGTCAGCTGTGCCTTCTTCTCAATAAACACTCTAACCCCTTAAAGACAACAAAGAAAAACACTTAACATACAGCAAAATCATCATTAACTTTGAAATTCTCTTTCAACCAGTAATAAAAAAAATGGAAGCTAAATAGGAAGACTGCCAGTATAACTTTGTTTCCCTGGCCTAGCACAGAGCACTTTCATCACTGTTTGAACTCTACCTATAAAAGTCTAGCAACAGTCTAGAACTTATTTGTGTGTGTACATGAATATATGTATTTTTTGAGGGGGAACAAATCTCAGCTTCAATACTTAATTCCCATGCATTACAGTCAGTAGCCCATTTCCTACTGTTCTTAAAATCTGTGCCTCCAACAAGATACCCACAAACCTCAAAAACCCAAATGTCCCTCTCTCAAAATGATTATTTTTTGCTCTGTAGAGCAAAAATATTAGGTCAACATTAATTATTAGCAATACTGAATCCTATAATAAGGCAAATGCATGAACTTTCAAGGATATCACAACCTTTAATGATTAAGAATTAGTTGTTCATCTCGGGGAACTAGAAAGAGCTCCCTTTTCTAAGTATACAAAGTATCTAGCTCTCTGGAAAGTTACTGAACTTAAAAACTGCCAATCTGATACAAAGGCCCTGGTGAACTGCTTTAGCTGTTCATGAACTACGAAATAATAAAAATAAAAATGCAAAATTGTATCAGTAAACAGCAAGAACAAGAACTCATTAAGTTATAAGAGAGCCTGCTGGAAAGCTGTTTCATCATAGTAGGCACCGAGACAAAATTTTACTAACACATCTCAAGTCTGTGGGCAACTGAGTTGAATCTACACATTTTTGGGGTCAATTTGGACAGTAACTGAAAGTGAAGGCTAAACCTAATGAAAGAGCTTATGGACCTGATCCCTGAAGCTGTCACCTATTACCAGAAAATTTGTGCTGGGATCCAAAGCCACCAGCCCACTGAGTACAGAGCTATACAGAAGTCAAAGCCTTCACTGGAAATAAGTCTAGAAGCAACCAAAACCAAACAGAAACCACAAAGACACACCTCAAATGCTGTTTGGCTTTGGAACTTAAAGTCTCTGACCGGACTGAGGGAAACTGCTTTTATCTTCCCTAAGATTCAACCAGAAAATGCCTTCTGAAAAATGTATTTTCAGCCCTGTAAAGCTGAGGCAAACAGAAGAGGTAACTCCAGAAGCCAGCTGAATTTAGTATCAGGTGCCACTTGCAGAATTAGGTGGCAGCCCTTATCTCACATACTCTTAGTGCAATTTAATAATTTGTTGAAGTTCCAACTAATACCCTGTTAAGGAGAATAAAATTTGTAAGCTGGTCACAGATATTCTGAAGACAGCTTTGCTCTGCCTAGCAGCATAGCTTCTGTAACAGAATAATTGTGATATCTGACACACATTTCTACGCCTTACTTTGAAACCAAATTAAAAGTAATACTCCTGAACATAATATAACAGAATTCAGTAATGCCTAAAAAAAACCCAAACCATCACCATAAAAGCAATTTTAGGAACTTTTAGAAACAGAACAGAAACCAAAATAAACACTATTATGCTTTTGTAAAAATCTGTATCTGACAAAAAGACCACTGACAAGTTTTTAGAAAGACTGGAAAAATGTATAGAACCACACTGGTTGTGACTGGGACAGAGTTAATTTTCTCCAGAATAGCTAATATGGGGCTATGTTTTGGATTTGTACTGAAAACAGTGTTGGTAACACCGGGATGTTTTAGTTACTGCTGAGCAGTGCTTACACACAGTCAAGGCCTTTTCTGCTTTCTCACACTGTCCCACCAGCGCATAGGCTGGAGGTGCACAAAAAGTTGGTACGGGACTCAGCCGGGACAGCTGACCCCAATGGACCAAAGGGATATTCCATACCATATGATGTCATGCTCAGAAACAAAAGCCAGGGGAAGAAGGAGGAAGGGAGGGACATTCTCCCAAGTAACTGTTACGCTGACAGAGCCCTGCTTTCCTGGGGATGGCTGAACACCTGCCTGCCCATGGGAAGCAGTGAATTAATTCCTTGGTTTGCTTTGCATGCGTGCACAGCTTTTACCTTACCTGTTAAACTGTATTTACCTCAACCCATGAGTTTTCTCACTTTTACCCTTCTGATTCTCCCCCTCTACCCCATGGTGGGAGAGGGAATGAGTGGCTGTGTGGGGCTTAGTTGCCAACTAGGGTTAAACCATGACAGGAACTCTAGCAATAGACTATCATGGGATGCTCAATGAAATTATAAGGCAGAAAGCTTAAATACCAGCATGTGAAAACAATTTTTAAAATACTCTTAAATTAAAATCATAGAACCCATTGTTACAAAGCAATGCAAAGGTCAAAAGCACAAAGAGGTTAAAAACAAGTTAGGAATCAATGAAGACTAAGACTAATTAGAGAAGATAATTGGGAATATCCCTTGAAAATAAAATCTTTACTTTGCCAAGCCTTTGTTTAGGTATGCTGATAAAGTATTCCTTTGTACATGCATTGTTCTGTATTATTCTCTAAATATCTGCTATTAGCCACCTCCAGAGACATGCACTAGGCTATCCTGGCGGAGCAGTCTCTGATGCAGAGAATACAAAAGCTGCAGATATTAACTAAACGATTACTTCAAAACAGAAATTAAGGTGACAACGATTCCCCTAACAGAACAGTAGGACCTCTTGCTATAAGTCGTTACTTCAAGTAAGTTCTAACCTGTGCCTTGGCAAACCTGTAATAGGTTATTCTCCCCCTCCCCCCCGCCAGAAGTTTGCTCTGCTGCATCAGAAACTCACCGTCTTGAACTACTTCTTCATCAGAGTCTCCTTTCGATTTTGTATATTCTAATGTGTAAGAAAGTCCATTGCATCCTCTTGTACGAACACCTACTTTCACGCCTACCTACAAAAAAACCACCAAAACAACAAAACCCAACAGCACATTTGTGACTTTTTTAAAAACCTATTCGGGAACACCAAGATAAAAAGTATGCAGAACAACAAAATGCTGACGTTTATTATTCTCCACTGCCTCAAAGCAGAAGTGAATTACTTTAAGGGATTAAGAAGTAACGCTTTTTTTCTTTTTACAAAATTGATGGCCAAGGTAAAAGCAAACATCAGATGTTTGCTACTGTGGATCAAGCCCTAAAGCACGTCAAATTTTTGAAGTAATAAACCGTTGGCACTCCTGTAGGTGCCTGTTCTCAGAAAGACAGTCAGATTTTATAGATGGATATTTTTGTGACTTCAAATTAAAGTTCATTCAGACGCTAATTCAGGTGCTATATTAAGATTATTGACAGCAACACAATTATGAAGCTGTGAGGCCAAAACAAGGGCAGTTACTAGACGTTCACAGAACCCTTGTAATGACATCATTAGAAAACTTACTTCAAACCAAAGTTTGGAAAAACATACTTTGATTTCTTCATTACCTCTATTGCCAGTCTCACTTAAAAAGCAATTCTGTCCTTAAATAAATTATGTTTATTTGCTTACTATTTTAATTAACCTTAAAAGCTGAGTCCATATGTTTGTAACATTCACAGTATCCGACAAGTCTGACAAAAAGAGCATCTGTGTAAATAAAGAACTGAGAACAAATATTAAAGAAACAGAAAACTATTTGTGTACAACAATCTTTCAAAAGTATCTGTACCACCTTCCACACACCAATGCTTCATAACTGAAGAGGAAAATTGTATTGTCTATCTCCATAATCAAAGTTATGATAAAAATGGATCAAAACATATTACTTGTCATCAAGTGGGTTCTCAGACAAACAGCGTTCGATCTTTTCAGGTTAAATACCTTTCTCTACAGCAATTGCTATAAATAATGGGTTGGAAGAAACAAACACATTTTATAGCACCCTTTTTTTTAAGCACCTTTTATGACTGACCAGCTAAGCTGTGGGCTTAGGGCTTCCTTAGGCTGGTTTAAAACATTAGAACAAAGAGTCTAGTTAGTTGTGGATGTGCAGAAGCAAAAGAAACAATGGGCATGTATGAAAGTTAAAAGAGAAATATTCTTCTTGAAATAATACTGACTGCAAAGAAGAAAATCTGATGCTTGTTTTTGTAATAGAAAGCAGGACTCTGTTTTTCTCCAACAAGAAAAGATGACAAGCTCAATCATTTATTTGGAGAAACACTGATTACTTTAAAATTACACTGTCTGGCAAGTTTCCTAAGAATGAGATGTTTTCCAGTGGGCATGAATCTAACTTTATTATTCTATACTGCAGAATTCCTTCAAGAGGTTCATTAATAACGTAAAGTTTCATCAAAATATAGCTCAAAAATATTTTGAAGCTTAACTTTTTTTCAACTTTATCCACCTCAAAAGTAACTGTACAGTGAAATGTCACTACAGTCAGGTATTTCCTGCATTTCATTTCATAAAGAAGTGAAGCCTGATATATAAACAAGCTTATGAATTCCCCTCCAAAAAAGATGCGAACATCTCTAATAAACACGTCAGTGTTTATTTCAAACTTCTAAGTTAGCCAGAAACGCCGTGTGATCATAAGCTGTGCTAATACTTTAGCACATTCTACAGGTTGGCCCTGTTTATACTTACATGCTCGGGTTTATCTTTAAGAAGCTGTTTTATCTTCTGAACAGCTGATGGAGTCTGAAAAACAAAACCATATACATCAATTTGAAACAAGTTTTTTTTTTGTTTATTTGCAGTGAGTGCTTGCACATATTGAAGGGTGTAACATACTTAGTTGCATTATACATACTCTGTGCACTCAAATTTTCTCAGTTTACGTTTGTCTTCTATCTGCGAAGTCCACCTTAGCATCACTCACCTGTCTGTATTGACTAGCCTGTGTTCTACTTGAAGCTGATCTGAAGATACACTGCTGTAAAACAGATGACTGCTGAATCTAATCCATGCAGAACACAATACCTCTTCACTCCCCTCCTCCCCCCCACGCCCCACGAACAGATAGATCAAGAACTTCAGTCCTTAATATCAGGGTGTTTGTGTTTTCTTTTCACCCCACAAAATCACTACCACAATTCAATTAAGTAGTTCCTCTCTCATGAAACTTTTGTCACATACACATTACAGACAAAAATCAATTACGCACAGAAGTGTTTATGGCCTACTACTCGTTTCCCACTAACCTAGAGGGAAGCTCTGACTTTACAGCAGATGAATTCACTGTTCATGTAGATCAAGTTGCAGAAATGCAAGAGCAAAACACAAACATGAAAGTCTCCATAACACGCTTACAAGTTTCTAAGACACCGAGAAAAGGAAAAGCATTAGTAACATTAAGTTCCTACCATGAGCAGACTTAAACACACAAAGCAAACTACAAGCAGATTTACAGTAGAAAACCTTTTCCAATTACCGCTATTAATCTTCATTTGTTACAGAATCACTACTGAACAGGAATTACCTGCTCTGACCAATGACTGAACTATATGCGCTTAATCTGCCCCTGTTCCTGCAGGGAACCGACTGTACTTTCCTCTGCAGTAATCCCTCTCAACAGTACAGCCGCCTCAACACTGCCGCTAGTAGCAAACGCACTACCCCTATTAACCAAAGGACACAAACCCTCCTTGAAAACAACCTACTCGTCAGCTTCTGTAGATAACGCATTTCCTGGTTTGTTTTCGGCTTTTTTTTTTTTTAGAAATAAATATAATTCCCCGGGTGACCGTGCAAAAAGCCGCCTATCCCCATACGAAGGGACCGCACTCATGTTCCCCCCTTCTCCCACCGTCCTGCCCTCCGCGCGGGCCGCGGGGCCTTCTCTCCGCCGGGATTCGCGAGGAGCACCAGCTCCTCCCACAGTAACCTCACGGGGGCGAAGACACC